TTTTCATTGTACTTTTTGGTGACATGTTTAAATATTGTACAATATACGGTAATTATTGTATTTTGCATAGGTGGTTGAATATATTTTTTTCCAGTATATTTTAAAAATATTGTATATTTTCTCAAACTGTTACTTATTGTAACGCAATAAATTAAATGAAGTTTAGACTTGTTCTGCTTTTTGTAATTAGTATTTTAAACCTGAATAAATAAATAATAAATGTAATTGCTTTGTATGCCTAGAAAGTTTTATATTTTATATTCTGTAAAGCATTTTGAAATGTTTTAATTTAAAATGCACTAAGTAGTAGCACCATCATCATCATTATCATTATTATTATCATCATTTATTTGTTATTATTATTATTTATGTTATTATTATTATTATCATTTATTTGTTATTCATTATTGTTATTATTATTATTATTTTTATTTATGTTATTATTATTATCATCATTTATTTGTTATTCATTATTATTATTATTATTATTTTTATTTATGTTATCATTATTATTATCATCATTTATTTGTTATTCATTATTGTTATTATTATTATTATTTTTATTTATGTTATTATTATTATTATTATTATTATTATTATTATTATTATTATTTGTCTCATGTTTATTACTCATGTATTTCTTTCTTTATTTCTTTATCTTAAACACCACATCCAACAGCAATCATATGGCAATAACAGGATGCCTTAAAACTTTTAAAATACACATAAATATATAATGTATAAATAGAAATAGAAAAATGCAAAAAAAAATAGAATCAGGGTCACGATTCACAAACAAAAATAAAAATGAAAACAAATTTGTATTTTTATTTCAATAGATAATGAATAATACTGCAGAAAACAAGTTGCAAGCAAGCTACAGACGAACTTTGTAAACTGACAGCCTGGTGACCATTTCACATTGATCTCACAACATGCAAGGACTTAATTGGAAAAGATTCAGAATGTACAGGATCCAGTAGACAGGCCCGGAAAAAAAAAATGTTTGTGCCTGGAACCAGGAAAGTTGTCTCGATAAAATGCCTCCATCATCAAATGTTATCTGTACACTATATGAGCCCAACAGTTTATTTTTTTTAATTTATTTTTCCCAAAATGCTTGTGGGACGCAGGTTGCAAGGTCGTACGCATGTTCTAGCCCTGGTTATTATTTTTGTTGTATTGCGTAACAATGCATGAAGCATTCACATTTACTAGGCGTTCGATAGTGTTGCTGTTATTGAAGCTGAAGCCTTCATCATTTATCAAATGAGGTTTGCCATCCCTAAACCACCATCTGTCGCTAAATATTAAACTGAGTAATTAGCGCATGAACGTGGCAGTATTGTATACTTTAGTACAGAGAAGCTGTAATACTTTTACTCATAATTTTTGCAGTACAGTAGTAAAGTTGGTACCAGTAAATGACCAATCATTTTACAGCTTATAGTGTGGAGAATATGAATGAAATAATTAATATGAGTATGAAATATTAAAAAGCCAATTTTGTTGTTTGATCACTAATGCTGGTTCTGGCATTGCAAGCATCATCATAATTATTATCATCATCATCATTGAAAGATATAAATTTAAAGTGTTGGTAAGATTACAATAAACTGAGTGACATTTTTGATGCCCAATTATAATAAACTATTCAAACACATAAGGCTGTGAATATAAGCCCTCTTGGCATCCCCTTTCTCTGCAATTCCTAACAACCTCATTGGTAACCTAAGATGGTTCATTTCAAGGCATGACCAGCTTAATCAATTCTACTTAAAGCCTGCATTTTCAAAAATGCAATACCTACTTCAAATGTAGTAATAGTGCAAGTACAGCTACGAATACTGAGTGCATTAAACTCAATTAATGCATAAAAAGATGTTCTGCCTTTAGGGTGTTTGTAGTATGGGAGTCAGACAAAAACCACCCACAATGAACTATACCATTTTTTAAGTAGGGGTGGACAGTGTTGAGTGAGCCAACTCAATGAAATATGTTACATTACACATACCGTTTCAAGTTAAACTTCTTCTGACATTGCTTTTTCCTGAGTGAAATCGAAAGAAAATATAATTGTTGAACTTTGAAAGTGAAAAAACAATTTTCGTTAATTTGAAAAAGAAAATTCAACAACATAAATTATTATTGTTATAGTTAATATCTTTGTTTTATTAACATTATTATGATATTTGTATTTTTATCATTTTTGTTTTTACCATGTTTAGCCCATCCAGAATATCACATTTTATAATAATAATAATAATAATAATAATAATGGTCAATTTATGGAGTGCATATTACGGAGAACTCCATAAATAAATAATAATATGAAAAGAAACACTGAGCAAGAAAGTGATACTTAATCTAACTGCAAGACACACTAATCCTACTCCTGAAACTGAAAGCATGGTTGGCCTCTGGCTCTGAGGAAATAATCCACCCCTTTGTTCAGCTATACTTATCTTGACAATACATGTGACATGCCTAAATATGGTCATGATGACATCACATCATCACCATATATAGGCACATTTGAGGAAATAATCCGCCCCTTTGTTCAGCTATATTTATTTTGACAAAACGTGTGACATGCCTATATGAGGCATGTTGTGGCGAAATGGTAAAGTTGTCGCACAGTCCAGTATTGAGTAAATGAGCTATAAAATATGGGAGCTCCAAAAATTGCTAAAAAATCCAAATTTGCTTTTCACTATAGGTCAACAGTTTAATGTCTTATTAATGATGTCCCAAAGTATTAGTTCTGGAAGTGGTTAACAAATTGTTTATTTAATGTTATTTTTCATAGTTCTATTAAACAATGTATGCAGAAATAACTTTGAAAGGCAATTACTCAAAATCCTGTTTATCTTGACTCTAAGAGTACTGTACTTTCACTTTCCAATAACTTAGGTTTGAAATGTCCAATTTGAATGAATGACCCCTCATTTTAAAGATCACATACTCAGATATTTGAAAATACCAATAACTTGAATTTTTGCTACAACTTAGCCATTTTGCCACAACATGCCTCATATATGGTCATGATGACATCACATCATCACCATATATAGGCACATCATGACTATATATGGGCATGAATTTGAGTCTTGACAGAGCATTAAATATAGCCTGGTTTTCTTAACATTGCTACACTGTCGCTACAGCGTTTTTAAGTGTAATCGTTGTACTGCGAAGCAGTCCCCGACACAAACAGGGAAGCTTCCAGATTCGACCGACCAATCAGCATCACTGAAAGCTGAAATTTTAGTGAAACTAAGCTTATGAGTAACCCATCATCAAAGCTGATTATATGGTTCATGACACTCTATAACTAAATTTCTTTATGATAGTTGGGATGAGGAGGTGTTTTTGTGAGAAAATAATATATTATATTTTTTATCACAACCAAAGATTTATTATTCACCAAGGATGTTTATATTTTAGGGTGAATTAATTGCAGGCATTTATTTAAATATACATCCGAGACAAAGAGGGGAGCTACAGTACTACAACAACAAAGTAAGCAAATGTGGTATAAAACGTTTAGTCTGCAGAACGAAACAGCCCTAATAAACAAAATTCTAAGGGCTGTTCATTTCTGAAGACTAGAAGTTTTATTACACATTTGTGAGTGAGGTCTCACCACAAAATGAGTCTCATGGTTAGAAAATAAAAAAATTAAGTTTGTTATATTTGGTAAGATTACATTATAATATTTAATTTGGTCTTTGAATGGCTTCCCTAGGATAAGTAGATCCAGAGACGTTAGCATTTCGTGGGGAGTCCTCAAATTTGCATACATTGTTGTTGTCCTCTCCTCTTTATCTGTGATGTATATTACATAGATGTTATTTATCCCATGTGCTTTGTCTTGATGAAGTCCATTGTGTGGACAAACGCCAGAGCAAATACACGTTAAATTTTCATATATTGTTCTATAGCAGACTAATAGGCTGCACTTTTCATTCATCATTACTGCTTTTGAAATCCGTGATTGTACTGTCGTGAACAAAGAAGTGTTGTGATTATATATCATTCATGACACTCTATAACTAAATTTCTTTATTTAGTTGGGATGAGGAGGTGTTTTTGTGAGAAAATAATATATTATATTTTTTATCACAACCAAAGATTTATTAACACCAAGGATGTTTATATTTTAGGGTGAATTAATTGCAGGCTGAGTTTTATTTATATGTAACATTGAATAAGTAACATTTATTTAAATATACATCTGAGATAAAGAGGGGAGGTACTACAACAACAAAGTAAGCAAATGTGGTATAAAACGTTTAGTCTGCAGAACGAAACAGCCCTAATAAACAAAATTCTAAGGGCTGTTCATTTCTGAAGACTAGAAGTTTTATTACACATTTGTGAGGTCTCACCACAAAATGAGTCTCATGGTTAGAAAATAAAAAAAATTAAGTTCGTTATATTTGGTTAGATTACATTATAATATTTAATTTGGTCTTTGAATGGCTTCCCTAGGATAAGTAGATCCAGAGACGTTAGCATTTCGTGGGGAGTCCTCAAATTTGCTTACATTGTTGTTGCCCTCTCCTCTTTATCTGTGATGTATATTACATAGATGTTATTTATCCCATGTGCTTTGTCTTGATGAAATCCATTGTGTGGACAAACGCTAGAGCAAATACACGTTAAATTTTCATATATTGTTCTATAGCAGACTAATAGGCTATGCTTTTCATTCATCATTACTGCTTTTGAAATCCGTGATTGTACTGTCGTGAACAAAGAAGTGTTGTGATTATATATCATTCATGACACTCTATAACTAAATTTCTTTATTATAGTTGGGATGAGGAGGTGTTTTTGTGAGAAAATAATATATTATATTTTTTTATCACAACCAAAGATTTATTAACACCAAGGATGTTTATATTTTAGGGTGAATTAATTGCAGGCTGAGTTTTATTCATATGTAACATTGAATAAGTAACATTTATTTAAATATACATCCGAGATAAAGAGGGGAGGTACTACAACAACAAAGTAAGCAAATGTGGTATAAAACGTTTAGTCTGCAGAACGAAACAGCCCTAATAAACAAAATTCTATGGGCTGTTCATTTCTGAAGACTAGAAGTTTTATTACACATTTGTGAGGTCTCACCACAAAATGAGTCTCATGGTTAGAAAATAAAAAAAATTAAGTTCGTTATATTTGGTTAGATTACATTATAATATTTAATTTGGTCTTTGAATGGCTTCCCTAGGATAAGTAGATCCAGAGACGTAAGCATTTCGTGGGGAGTCCTCAAATTTGCATACATTGTTGTTGTCCTCTCCTCTTTATCTGTGATGTATATTACATAGATGTTATTTATCCCATGTGCTTTGTCTTGATGAAGGCCATTGTGTGGACAAACGCTAGAGCAAATACATGTTAAATTTTCATATATTGTTCTATAGCAGACTAATAGGCTACACTTTTCATTCATCATTACTGCTTTTGAAATCCGTGATTGTACTGTCGTGAACAAAGAAGTGTTGTGAAATTAAATGTGCTCGTCAAGTCAAAAGTCTTACGTAAACATAAAAGGGAGATACAAAAAACAACCTGCAAACCTAGATGATATATCTTTGACGTATGATAAATGGATTTTCAAAGTTGCATATAAACGCACACTGCCGTAATTATCACAACATTGTTATTAAAGCCATATGAAAATATTTATTCAGTGATTTATGTGGTTTTTATCTCATTTGGTTCTTGTAATTCAATGATTCAAACGTACATATGTGTATGTGGGACAGAATGCGTTTTTGTGGGACAAGCCCATAATCCCGACTCTGTTCTGGTTAGTCCAATGTATGTAATGTCTTTACAGTACTGGTTTATAAAAGTTAACTTGTATCACGTTACATTGTCATATTTCTACTTATATACTGTAAAGATTATACTCGCGTATAAGGCAACCGTCGAGTATTTTTTGTATGTTGGAATCCCTACATTTTTTTCTGCTTTTCATGGTCTTAACACCAAATCTAGCAGACTAGAAATGGAGCCACATGCGAGGCTAATCTTCATTTTATGAGATTTTAAATGTTCATCAAATGCTTATTTACATTTAGTTTTGTTTGGGGTGGGCTGTTCTTGAGGGAAGTATTGATCACAGTGGAGGGTAGTTAGCACTTAGTAACCGCAAGGAATAAGCGCTATAGAAGTACCTAGTAAAAAGTAGTAGTTCATTGTACTAGTAAATTTGTGTGTTATGGATGATCTGCGCATAAGACGAACATAATTAAATAAATCTAAAATTTGTATGTCTTGCATATAAGACAACCACTTTTTTGATCGTAATTTGCTATTTTAAGCCTCGACTTGTACGCAAGTATATATGGTAGTAGTGATGAATTTGTTGGTCCATCGAGATGCGTGTACTTATGGATATTTGAACCAATGTGAACCAATACTAAACAAACTGTAATTAATTCGCTCCATTGTCAGAATATTGCCATGGAACCCATTCAAATGAAAGTCTTGAATACTTTTCATAAAAATGTAAGTTAAGTGTTGTTAATGTTCCATCATAAAAGCTTGCTGATATTAAAAGCAATTTCCTGTCAGTTGTACACTACCCATTAAGGCACTGTAATTATCGTAAGGAACTCTATACTTTAATTGCTAATAAATTTGGTAGAAAATGTAGACTATTGTACGTCTATTCAAATTAGAAAAGAATTATTAAGCACATTTTGTTTGCTTGTTTTGCACCTTATGGTGCAGTTGTTCTATTCTAATCCAAGGATACCATAATAACATAAAACTTGATTCATTAAAAATAAATACTGGTGGATTAGATATTCAAACAAAATATTTATTATCAAAATAAAATAGAAAGCATTTGCTCAAAATGGTATTGCAAAACTACTGTATACTATTTTCGGTATATGTTAAACACAAGATATATTGAATTGCTTTCTAGGCATAAAAAAATTTATTGGTAGCAAAAATGTTCATGTAATATTTCAACTGAATTATTGAGAATCAGCGTGCTTACTGTAGATATGATTGTATGTGAAAAAGTTGACAGCTAATTTGTTTACATTCCAGAACATGAGGAAAATATATTTAAAAAATGATATTTTGGTCTTAGAAGGTGATAAGAATTGAATTCCGTCCATGAATATGTAAATAGTAAGCAGATTCTTTAGCACTGTCCAGACTTTCAAATGTGCCTAAATATGGTCGCAACATTACCATATATAGGCACATCAAGACTATATATGGGCATACAGCAGTTTTGATGTCAAAGAGGCACAGCCTTAGTTTGGTAAGAATCACCTTGATTTGAATAAACTTCATATTTCTATTTCTATCTTTTATTTTTTAATAAATTTTTAAAATTTGAGTTTTACTTATTTTTATTTGATTTAAAGTGCATTGCTGAAGATGCTACTATGGTAAGGTTTTCAATAAACTGTACAGTTTCAATCACTTATTTAACAGTGCAAGAAAGATCTAAGACAAATTTAATTGTTAAATCAGTGGCGGTTCCAAGGAATTCAAAATAGAGGGGGGCCCAGAAAGGGACTATACCACCTCAGCCCCATTATGGTTGGGGTGAGATAAAAACATTTATGATAATGGCACCTCCAGACTTCAAATGAGTCTCATTCCTGATGATGACATTTATTGTATCCTAACACGATGGTGTGCATTTCAACACTTGGAGTATGTATTATACTTTCTTATCTCAGACTTGAATTTTAAATAATTTAAAATAATTTTGAAAATTTAGAGCTAGTCCCCTCCCCCTTAAACCCGCCACTGATTAAATTGTACTGTACTATCTTGGTGACACCATAATGCCATGTGGTACCCTTGCGTTATTGAGCAAAGCAGCCCCTCCTCAGCCAACCTACAGTTTAGATAGCTATTTAACTTTGCATTGGTATTTGCATTGTAATGTGATAATGCACACTATATTCCTTCTTGTACCTTTCATAGCATAATAGGACCACATTCTACCATTGTTTGTTGTAATCAATGTTAACATCTGTCCACACCATATAGATTTATATGACAAATATCAGTGAGCATTATGTTACATAAAACTTTCTAGAGTGGACAGAAATGTTAATTTGTTTTATGCAGTGCACTGATTTAAATGTTTTTTGTACATTTTTTCCAACTATAATTTATTTTGTAAAGGTATGTTTTATTTACTTTTACATGATACGATAATTACAGTATGCAAATTGTTTTCATTTATAATATTGGAATAAAATTTCACCTTTAAGATTATATTAAAAATTATGGTATATTATGATATCTGGAGTTTTGTATTGTTTAATCATTTGTCGCTTCTCAAAACATAAATACTATAATGAATGACGACACAAAACGGGGTCTGAAAGGGAGGCCAGATCAAGATAACACCACCCTAGGGCGTTTTTTTTAATTAATTTATTTTTTTTTAAATATTTCCTTTTTTTTACTTACCTTAAAATGGGGGGGGGGGGTTAGTCCACAGTCCCCCTCCCCCACTAAATCTGCCCCTGCAAAAAAGGGCAATACTTGATTCAATTTAAACAAAGTAAACTCAAAGGCAAGATTTTTGTTATACCTTGTTTTGCAAACAATAAATATATAATTTTTTTTCTAATTTATATAATAGTTTTGCCAAAAACAACCAGGAGAAAATAAAAATAAATATTGGGTAATGGGATGGTAAAATGCTTTAAATTTATATAATTATGAAGAAATATACATATCTTATATTTGGAGATTTCAAGGCAGCAGCAAGCATGATAAAAAATTAAAAACTTTTATTTCTTCCTAGAATTTCCATTTTTGTTTTGTGACCAAAAATTAAATTTTATTTTACTCAAAATCATTATTAAACATTATTGGCAGATGGCAGGTTTACTAAATTATGGGGGTCTTAATTGTTATTAATTTCTATGCGACACAGAAATTCAGTTTTTGCCCATTTAAGAAAATTTTACTATAATATATAAATATAATAACAACAAACCAATTTAATTGCATTTAACTTACAAAATATACAAATTAAAGAGCCAGTTTAATATTACATTTGCAAAGAATATAGACACAGCCTTATCGTTGTGAATCTGTTATTACTGTTCCATTTACAATCTTCTTTTGGTTACGCATGGACGTCATTGACAAATACTGATGTATTCAAGTTGACATCACTGCTTCTGATGATTATTCAGTTCAGTGATGATTTCTCAAGTTAGTAAAATTCATTTCATTCAAATAACCATAGTACAGTAAATACAAAAATTTCCGTAGCAACTAATAATTTGTCTTGAGTGCAAATATGGTTGCTTAAATTAAAGGTACAGGATAATAACTGCTGTGGAATTTCAAATTTTTCAATTTTGTTCAATATTTGATAAGCAGCATATGCTAAATTGCATAAAATTTACAGCTAAAAATTCGCAGCTAAAAAATTCAATAGACAAAAATGACCAAACAATAAACAAGTTCTTGTAATCTCGAAAGCTCCGATGAGGGCAGTGTATCAGAGGGAGTAGGGTATATTGGCCCTAACGGCCGCTCATACAAAAAAGATCTATTAATCAGCCGAGTGTTTCAAGAGCTTCAAAGCTAAAAACAAATAAAATAAAAAATAAAGATGAAGGACACTAGCAAAATGATGATTTCCGGGCCACTTTTTCTTCAATTTCACAATAATTTATCAGTAATCTGACAAGTATGAGTTGTCCAGGGACAATATAACCAAATATCCTGATGGAAAAGTAATTTCTTCTGGACTTTAGATCTATTTATTTTGGGTCTAGGCCTATGATAAATTTCCATGGTATTTTTGTCTATATCCTCCTGCTCTGTACATAAATGCTACTGGGCCCAGAAAAGCACCCAGGTTGAAAATGCTATATCTGTACACAGAAGGTAGTAGTGCGACTCAAAATAATGAACAAATCACAATTTGTAGGTTTATTTTAAACCATATGTGAATAAGACAAATGTAGGTCTATTGCGAAAATGATAATTTGTTCAAAACTTAATTTTCTATCAGTGCCATAACTAGGTGACTTGAGTTGCAGTACTGTTGAAAAATGCCTTATTTTATAATTGCTGCAAATATATTTTTTTTAATAAGAAGCTAAGAAATAACTTATTAAATATGCAAGTCAAACAAAATATTGAATTTCAATCAAAATGAAATCACCATGACAAATCAGCTTGACAACATAAAGGTTTCAATAAACGAGAGCAGCCATGCTAAAGGGTAATTAAAGTTAGTGCCTACTCATAACGCGATGACGTACATACGCAGAGGCCATCAGATGTATCGTTTATTAGTTTCTCGCTTCGACACTCATTCATTTTCTTTTCAGTCAACAATATTATATACTGCAAGAAAAAACCCTACAGTACCATCAAAGAAAGTTTGCTGTTTTGTCTTGTGATAATAATTATGACTACGATTTTATTGATTTATTAGTTTCTCGCTTTTAACTATGTATTTGACACTCATTCATTTTCTTTTTAGCCAACAATATTACATAATGCCAATAATATTACATACTGTGCAAAAGAAACCTGCAATATATACCCTACAAAGACTAATATGGCAGCGTTGGGTCTGGAATTTTGCCGGCAACGGGTCAGACATGTCCAACGGTGTTCTGAACCAAGGGAGCAACTAGAGCCTTGGTATGGATTCCGCAATATACTAGCCCCTAGCAGGGTTCAACGAGGAGAGTTTTTATGGCTTGTATGGTCCAATATTGAACACGTTCAACTTTTTTTGATACAATTCGATATGTGATATGGCGTCATGCCCATATATGGGCACATCACATTTTCTGTCACATAAAATTTGGTAGTGTAGACAAAGCTTCAGGGATTGGCAATCAAAATATTGTTATTTGGATAGGCGATTTTTTTTTCTTTATTTTTGATCCAACAGCCTCATCATGGAGGTGGAAGACAAGGGGGTCCAAAGGGAAGAGGGAATTACCCCTGCCCCCCACTCCCCCGCCACTGGCGCAACCACTGTAGTGGGGTCGAGAGGCAAAGAATTGATAAGTGCCCTTGGATGAAGTCCCCGACACCTTTAAACATTTTTCTGAGCTGCTTATTCTGTTCAGACATTTGATGATGATGATGATGATGGGATGCTGATGATGATGATGGTAATGGAGACAATTATATAATGATTATCAAGATGAGGATGATGATGAGAAAAAATGTCTTGGAGATGACACTTTCACTTTTGACTGTAGCATGCTTATTCTTACAATAATTTGGTTGATGTTCTCTTCCTACATGGTGATAGGCATCCCACCTCCGTTTTTAGGGCAAAAGACAACATACACATGCACACTTGATACACAAACACACACGCACACACCACACAAACGCACACACTTGAAAATCCTCAACATAAAATACTGTGGCACACAACCATTGCAATATTATTTTTCTATTTATTTTTCATAAAACATGAAAATACACAAATATTCAGCATTAAAAATAAACATGGACATTTTTGCAGTTACTTTTAAGCCCATTAATAATCTTAAAAAATACATCCTGTAGATTCCAGATTACAAGCCTGTCTTTCATAAAAGTAATTAAGAATAATAAAATAGTATTTATTTTACTAATAAAAAAAAAAGCATTTGTCGGTGCAATACAAAATATGGATCCCCAAGTTAAATTGGACCCTGAGGACATATTCTAGTGGATCCATACTTCTGGACACCGACAGTAACCTAGTTATATTATCTGCTTTGCCTATTTTACTTGACATGCCTGAATAAGGTCGTGATGACATCACACCATGACCATATATGGTCACACACTTTGTTGGCGGATGAATCTGTGTAAGCACTTTGACCTGACGCCATCTGTTGATTGTCAAAGGCACTCTCAGCAAATTGTTAAAAAAAATACAATCCATCAAATGTGTCTTGTCAAGTTGCGCCTCCAAGGAATTATCAGACATTTCATCGGCCAACGAAGTGTGCGCCAGGCTACGAATGAAGCTGAATTGCTGAGACTCATGGCGATACTGCTGGCCTAACGACACAAGTCACAGCTAAAGTGGCGCGCATAGTAGTTCCGCTCAAGGTATTCTGTTTTATTAACAAAAGGCTTCAACAAGCTTGGTAAAAAAAAGTTGTATCATGTGAAGCATAATATGTATCACAATGACAGAGCAACAATTATGTTACTTATCATTTTCAACAGTAAGAAACTGAGCATTTTATTTTGTCCCCAATCCTGGTTACTGTTTTTATTGACAAACAATATCAACCAATCATATAAAAGGAACACCAAGAAATAATGGTAACAACATAGAAGTGACAGTATAGTAATAGCATATTTACAGTATTTAAAATATTGATATTAATAATAACAATGATTGTTATATTAATAATAATTATAACACTATTAAGAATGATAGTACCTTATTAATAATACTTGAAAAATAAATAACTATAGTAGCAGTAGTAAGAATAATAATTATTATTATTATAGCAATAATAATAATAATAAATAATAATAATAATAATAATAATAAATAATAATAATGTTCATCATTTCACTACTTTTTATATTGCTGAAGTTTATTATTTTTCAACATAAATGTAGGATTCAACATAGCTAAAAAAAAGTCGCAGTGTATTTGCCTTCCTCGTAGATTTGTATCTAGACCAAGAGCGTGATAAACCAAACAAGTATGCCTTTCCACTAAGCCCCATCTCTTGGATATTGTTGCGAAGGTCGCACAAAACAAGCATTAACGTACGTATACATGTCGAAGGGGCAGATCCAGAATTTTTCAAACAGTTTCAGAATAGATAAGCGAGTTAACACATAAAAATCATATCCACTGAAATTTTTTTAATTTATTGTAAAAATGGCGAAGTGATACGCTAGATACGCTGGAGAAGGGGAATTTAACAGCTAATGATACATATAAAATATTTGAGTGAGTAGAATAATACCGAGTTAATGACACTAAAGCATCTGCCTGATGTGACCTTAGGCCAGGCAGTGATTGTGTCGTACTACGAATCCATCTTCCCTTCCTGTGAACGCTAGACGATGCGGTCTAAACGGATCATCTTTAAAAACCATCCGTTACCAGTCAGCCGACAACCGTCAGCGTTTAGTCTGGCCTCGGAAAACTGAAGAAAACTACCGAATAATAAACCATATTACTCTATATGATATCATTTCATATGCTTTGCCTGTATGTCATGCCTGCCCCTGCATAGGTGTTCTAATAACAACTAATACAATTCACAATGAAATGATTACAGATGAGCGAATTATGCTTACAAAGAATGTCACGCAAATAGAAAATGGCAAGATTGTCAGTGCTAAGTAGAACAACAATAAATGAAATTAATAATAAAGATAATTTAATTGAGGAAATCCATAATGAGATTGGCAAGAAAGGGCACAATATCTGTTATAAAAACCCATACGTAGGTAGTCTTATTACCGCCATGATATATGACACCTTCAAATTTGCCGTTTGAAAAATCATAACAAGAATTTAAGGTTTTAATATGTTATATGCAGATAAATCTAACTGATTTTATAACAACCCCAGTCTTACAAAATCTAAAGCTTCATAATATATGTATGTTCAAATATTATGGAAAAAGGGGTAGTGTTTGGGGTCTTTGAAGAGTGAAGGGGCATGTCAATGATTGTTGACTGCTAACATAAAATTAATTGTTTATTTAAACGCCTAGTAAATATGAACACTGTATACAATATGTTTAAACTGGTGAAATAAAAAAAAACTAATACTATACGAGTGCACGCTTTCAAATCTGAGAGTACCGGGTTGAAATCCCATCAACCACTTGGATTATTTTTTTATATAATGAATAAAACAAATTCATTACTGAAAAAAACCTTGGAATGAGTCAATATATCATCTGAAATTATTTGTACATTAGTTGATGGATGCTAATAAACACTTATAAGGACAACATTACAGAAGGATGCAAGTTTTTGTAAATTTTGTGGGCAAAGTCCTTGACACAAAATGGTTCGATCCCATCAATTATTTATGACAGCCGCATGTTCAATTGCTTTTAAACAATTAAATAACCCTTTGATAACATGCAAAAAGGTAATATGAGTTTACTTTGACTAATGGATCCACAAATCTATCTACTGCTCATACTGTAGTTCATCAAAATTATACAAACAAGAGAAAAACTAGACTCAACAAAAAAAAAAAAGGCAGCATGTGTTTACTTTGACTAAAAACAAAAATTTATCAATCCACTGATCTGTCTACTGCTCATTGTCCATCAATATTTTACGAACTAAAAAAAAAACTAGACGTAAATATACAAGAATCCAATCAAGGGTTACTTTAACTAATAGAACATAAAATTTTTTTTTTTTTTTTTAAATACTCCCATTCGTCCGATATAAATTTGGGTTGTTGGAGGGCTCATCTATTTCAAATGCCTTGCATCATCATTTTATGGAACATAATAATAAATAATAAATAATAATAATAATAATAATAAATCCAATGCAGCTATGCCCAGGCTAAACTAAGTATCAGAAGGAAAGCATGTAATATGACATGTATTCAAGAATGGCATCATTACTAACGAAAGCTTGTGAAAAAATTTCACTGAGTAAGTACAGTATATTCTTGCCGAGCCATGGAGGTCATGGGCTGGAGGTTATCCCCAACTTCATGTAGCGTGAAGCAGATAAGATTGTGATGCTCCCCCTGGGTGGGACACTGGTCCACTGCAGGTTACTCCCAGCAAATTCGCTGGGAAAACTAAAGCAATGCAGATAATGTGACTTGTTCAAGACACAAGTAAAATGCACAGCTAAGGACTGAAATCCTGGCCTCAAGGTAGGGAAACCTCTGAACTAATGTCAGTCACAAAGTGCTATATCCAATTTTTACATTTGTAATGTAATTCAGATATAGATAGCTGTTGGTGGAAGATCTATATATCTACACTTTTGTGCATTTCAATGATATACTTGAAATCTTGCAGAAATTTCATAGGAGATAATTTATACACTGAAATGACAAAACAGAAAACCAAACTTCTTTATTTGCTGGATACCAAAACATGTAAACTCCACCTAACCATAATATCTTTGCAACAAAATAATAAATAATGTCACACTAAAAGGTTCTGTCAATATTAAACATAAAAATATGAAAACAAGAATTTAGTACAAAATTCCAAATAGTTCAAATAGTTATTACATCAAATTGATAAAATAAAATGAAATAAAATTAAATGAAATAAAAATTTAAAATAAATAAATGTAATTAATTGTGTGTGGACATCAGAAAAATAGAAAAAAATATTTAGATTAAAAAAAATCCTTTCATTTAAAAATGCCTTTCATTTAAATTAAATTTGTATTAGATTAGATCCTATATTTTCAGAAAAGAGTGTTGACAACTGGGCAACACTCACCTTTTTAGCATTTGTGGATAGTAGAATGAATAAATGTGAACCACAAACATTTAGTAATCACTTTTAGTATGTGATTACTTGTGTCATATTAAGTATTCTGACAAGGTGACAAGCAGATACATTAATGCGACATTAGAAGTGTTAAAACTGACACCCACATCTCAATTATGACGTCAAGAAATTTATCAAACTATTTAAGCGACCCGCTCTACATCAATGCGAGGTAGGACTTTTAACACGTGGTGATCACTTATTAATTATTTCAACGTTCGACAACACAGATTAATATTGAAAGCAGTGTCATTTGAAACACTAATTTGCAAACAACATAAAATCCCAAATAATTGTGTATTATGATGATGGAACAAGGGCAGTTTACTGTTTGGGCTCATGCCTATTCCTCGCTCCTGGCAAGATTGTACTCTTACTTTGCCAAATAAATAAATATTATTAATTAAAGAAGTATAAATTAACATCTCATGCAAAATAGTTAAAGATTGTTAGTTGTTATTCTGTTATATTTCAACAAACAGTTAAACAAGTTGAACAAGACACTGACTACCGAAAACAAATCATGAAATGAGAAAAGTTGACAGCAATTATGGCAATCCTCTCCAAAATTAGCCTATGCGTAGCAGATGATGTCCATTTTTCCCCGTTACGATTACACTTATGTCTGAACTTGACATTTGACTAACAAAGGGAGATCATGACGGTAGTTATGCCAAGCCTACAGGAGATGCTGAAGCGTTACAAATGATGCCATCCATCACCTTCTTTTACAGTTGTACATAGTTTAACTTAACATGACTACCAAAAGCAAATCATGGAAATAGTTATGCCAAGCCTAAAAGAGGTGCTGAAGCGTTACAAATGAGCCGTCTATCACCTTCTGAATTATGGTTGCACATACCGTAAAACCTTGAATTAAGGCCCTGGGTTTTTTTTTTATGCCAACTTCGGATGGGCTTCTTTTCGAGGCTACTATTGCAAAGTAACGAGAGGGGGCTTCTTTTAAAAACAAATGCTTTTAATTTTGGTAATTTGTACTATAAAACTTCAATCTGTATCATGTTGTGTATTAACTGGCATTAAATCACCTATACTACTGTAAAAACCAAGCATGTTTTTAATTTCTTTTGTTTCTTGAAATTCATGTATAGTGTATGTATTGTACTCTATCTCAAAAAGAAGCCTATGGTATAGGCTTCTTTTCGAGGCTATATTGCAAACTGAAGAGGGGGGGCTTCAATTTGAGGATTTACGGTAGTTTTAACTTAACATGGCTACCAAAAGCAAATTATGGGAAAAATTACGCCAAGCCGACAAGCTACAGAATAATAAACGTTCATCATCTTCTGTTACGTTGCACATACACTAAACTGTTAACAAGTGAATAGAAAAAAGGAAAAGCAAAAGGTGTACTTAATAGGAAATCACAGAATGGTGAACTTATTTTAAGCAAGATAACTGAAACAATAAAAAATGTGCCAAACATTCATATACCAATAGCCACACAAAGTTTATCTGTCTAATAACGTAATGCCTACTACGACTAACTTGCAAACAACACGTTATTGATCTTCATATGGTCATGATTACATCACATCATGACCATATATAGGCACATCATGACTATATATGGGCATACAAAAGTTTTTTGTCAAAAGAAAATTTTAGTCTGGTCAGAGCCTGATTTCTAACCACTGGAATGCAAGTCAAAATAGATTTATAAACAAAAAAAAATATTATTAGAGTAATTACAAAATCAGATATTTAAACAATAGTGGTTTATTGCTGATTTATTTTATTTTGTTTTTAGTGGAAGTATTTTGAATTGCAATAGAAGACCATGCCTTATATAAAAACCTTTTTAATATAATATTTGTCTCCCATCAATGGAAAAAATTTACCATCAATATGTAAAATGTCAATCAATGGTAAAACTTGACATAAAAATGTTCTGGTTTCTCAATAATTTACAGTAAATGAAATTATATCATTAAAACATTTTTCATGCTGGATGGATAGAAAAATAATACAGGAACAAAAGTATTTGGCGTTAAGAATCAGAAAACTATATGCTAATATCATAATACTGTACTGTGAATAAAATCACTCCTAAAATACACCATGAAAATATCATATGGTATGGTATGGTATGGAATCCATCCATTTTAATGGTAACTTTTATCCTCATGTTTGGATGACAATCAATGGTGTATTTATGTCCCCACCGCGCTCCCCCCACCCCCACCAAAAAAATGAAGTTTGGACTCCCCCAATTGGGGACCTTCGCATTGAAAATGATAGAGCCAAAAAAAAAACCTCAAATAGTTAAATATCATGTCTTTTCACCAAATTTTGCGAGTTCCCCTCACTTAATCATTAAGTCCCCTATTTCACTTTAAGTCCCCTATTTCACTTTAAGTCCCCTATTTAACCCTCAGGACTCCCCACCCCCCACTTTTCAAGATTCCTAGATACACCACTGATGTCAATGCTAAATAGCTTCCAAAAAGTTAAAGGTACAACCTGAAAATGATTATATTACTTTCACTTATGAATCAAAATAGTTTCATCACTGAGCTGTGATTATTCCTTCATCCTCCCACCGCTTCCCTCCCTGCAACACTTATATTAATCTCATCCCCTGGCCTACATCAGATTACTATTATTGCAGGGTATTTTTCAAGATTTTCCAGTTGTTTATACTTATTATCACAAAATGAATTGAAATTGACGGTCATAATGTAATTAAATAAACAATGTAATAAAACAAGCATAAATCAAACAAAAGAAAATGTTGTTTCGCTTTCCGCCGCTGTTAATGGCAATGGGTTAGCTGGTGACAGAGTATGGTAACAGTAATGTTTCAATAAATTATAACACTAGCTTATGAAGTTCGTACGCGACCTTAAGAGCCTAGCTCACGGCACACATCTTTGATTTTTTTAAATATCATCATTGCCAGCTAACACAGAAGAACACAGTATTAGTCAAGGATTGTTGTGACATCACACACAGTGAGTCTGCTGTAGATTTGCCTACTTTTGTTCAGATTGTGCCAGAGAAAAAAATATTCCACCTTATTAAAACGCTTCTTAAATCATTTCATATGCCACCATTTAAATATCTGTATCGCTACCGACAATATTATATCAAAGTTATATGTGATGCATAAAATTATCACACATGGATTGCCACCTGGTATAATAATTTTTTAAAAACAAATACAAAAATGGCCACATGAAATATATTCAAATTCATATATTTCACAAATACCCACCAGTCTTACACGTTCGAAGTTATACTCAACACAATTGGCCACCTGTTTTGTGCTTCAATTCAAAATATAATCACCTGTAAGCAATGCCATAGCCAGGATTTCCAAACAGTGCGGGACAATATCAGGGTCGACCCACTTTACGCGCAACTTCAAACAATGTGGACACATTTTATGCAAAAATATAAAAAATCTGGACCATTTTCTTAAATTTTACCCATTTTAAGATAAATATGAGGAATCTGAAACCATTTTTCAAAAAGTAGACACATTTTATGCATAAAATTACATAATTTGGAGCCACTTTTTAAAATGTGGACCCATTAGAAAAATTGTGTGGGACTGTACCAACTGTCTCAATAGTTGGCTACGCATTGCCTGTAAGAATCACAAATGATCCCCTGGTTGTTCAAACTTGCACCTTACACAACTAGGCACCTGTTTTACAGTCAACTATACAGACAAGAATGAGCACCAGTAATATATTCAAATTCATGTGGTTCGCAAACGACCACTTGCAGATTATTCAAATTTATAAACTTGACAGTTTGCCACATGTTTCCTTACAGTACAGCGATCCTTGGCAAACAAGGACAATATAAATTACTGATGCAACATTGTCATATGCATGATTTCATGTGGTATAATGTTTCACATATGTCTGCTGCCAATTAAACCCGTACAAGTGGAATTCATTAACATACATGTGTACAAACACATTACACAACACACAGACTTTACCTTTCTCAGCCTAATATTACAAAAACGATATAAATAGTTTAAAAATATAAGGAAGAAATTTGCATCAATGAACAACGGTGTAGAAAAGACCGGCAAAATGGAAGTACAGCTTCAAACGCGGGTAACGTGAAAATAAACGATTACCAGCAATACGATAACGTTCTAAAAAGGGCGTAGCTAGACTTCCATTGAAATACGATTTTGGTGTCCATTGAGGATGGTGAAAAGTGATGTTATGTGGCTTGGACCACCGGCCAAACACTGCTTTTTCTGTGATGAATAGATGACCACTTGTAAGACGGATCTCGCTGCGGCGGTAGTAATTACACTCGGTTCGGAAGTTAAGATCGTAGTAATGATACGGAATTTTTTCATTTGGATGTTTACTGAAAGAAAAAGCAAAGTAAAAATGAAATAATTGGAACTTATTTGTTAAATTTAATATTGTTTTGCTATTGCCATCTTTATTGTTGTAATTATAGTACATTATTGTATATAATCAGTGGCGGATCCAGGAATTCTAAATAGAAAGGGGCCCGAAAAGAGCTAGACCACCTAAGCTCAGTGGCGTATCTAGAAGTCTTGAAATGGCGATGCTGATTGGGGTGCGAAAGTGAAATGGGGTGCTCGATGATCAGTTGAGGAGCGCTAATTCACAAAATTTTAGGTGAATTTTAACTACTTGACCGTGATTTTGGCGTGAGTAATTTTGGAGGGGTGTGCGCCCCCACTCGCCCCCTAGATACACCACTGCCTAAGCTCCACTATGGTTGGGAATGCGGTAAGAAGATTTATGATTATGGCACCTCTGTATAAAACAATATGGCTGGAAATAGCACTCTCAGACCTAAACTTCATTATAATTTTCCTTTTTTCTCCATTCTTTATAATTTAAAAAAAAAGGGTTGAAGAGTAAGACCGGCTCCGCCACTGGTGAATGATTCTTCACTCTTTGTAATAAAATAAATGTGTGTATATATATCTCGGTATCTTTATTAAAAATTTTTTATAAAAATAAAGTCAAATTGGCAAAATAGAGTTCCTTAGCAGCTCAAAGCTGAATTGGGGACACACTTCACAAACAGCCAAAGAGAAACATCAATTCAAAAAATACAAACCCTAGTCAAATACAAAAATATAATTACTGTACCTAATAAACTAGCAGGTTTGCTAGGAGGACAGTATACGAATCAATGAAAAAAATTATTGATTACTGTGTTAAAAATTCCAATTATATTTTTTTTGATTATTAGATAGATTCAAGTAAGCCTGTTAGATATGGAAGGGGACCTTTTTAAAATCGTAATTGTAAAGAGCATGGTACTATAGGTGAAGTATTCTATTTTAGTATAAATATATACAGTATTATCATTATTGGGTCCACGCTAGGCGGTTGTTATTGTTCTTGTTGTTACCAGAACTTTAAAAGCATCCAGCGTCGCCAGTTTTGAACGGACGTGCAGGAAATTTTGTACACATAAACTAGAGGTAATTTCCAACAAACGTTCATGGCCCTTTTTTTAAGTTTGACCCCACGGTACCCCCTACACTTACAGTACAAAACAAAACAGCAGTTTCAGCAAGGACTGTACATTACTGCCATTACCACTAATAAGACACATCGCATGGATGGCGTAGTCAGTTAACGATGTGTTCTAAGGGAATAAGGAAACTAAAAGCTGTGAGTTCAAATTATAGGCTTAGCCAGCGAGTCGTCCGGCCATCTTTTGGATGGCCTACAATTACTTAGGACAGCCAATTTTACCATGGCGGCTTGGACAGCTTGCCCTATTACAGTGGCTCGGCTTAGCATAATTAGGCCTGGTCTACCTACAGCAAATTCTTTATATTCTTCAAAACTATTGAATGTTAAATTAAACGAAAGCTAAATCATATTTACGTTTGATAAAAACATTTATTGATTAAATGTATGTTGTATTCGTACCAATATTCAGTGGGGATTCCCAAAGATGAGCGTGGCTCTGAGTAGGCGTTGCCTGCCCATCAACTCATTGCCATGCCCACTGGCTTGCATTTTGGACGGCCTACTGTATATTGTTTTTACTGGCTAAACCCCTGGTTCAAATCGCGTCTTGGTATTAAATTTTAATTTTAATTTTTTTTTTTCAATTTCAAGACATTTTATTTATTTATTTTATCTTTTATTTTTTTTTATGAACCTTTGCCAAAAATCCAATATAATAACTTGCGCTACTGTGTACTGTATTTATTAAGCATTTAGGTTCCTACATGATTTTTAAGCATAATTTTAATAGTTTCAACAAAAAGCATAAACGAAGCGTTAAATGCAGAATATAGAGGTAACCTCAGTTTAACATGCGGACCGGTCAGTGGTCACTCGTGTACTTTACACCATGTTGCATTGCTCACTATATCTTACTTATGTTACATCTGTCTTAACTACAGATGAGTGAAACTAACCATTCATTCTGCACCTAAAAATGACAGAAAATACATACATACATGTACAATCGTCACTGAATAATTTTCATTCGCATTTTTACCTCACCAATACCACATGGCTTCAGCTATTGGCAATTTTTTTTGACATACTAATCAAAAGATTTACTGTCTAAATCACAACTGATGTCACAGAAATTGAAATACATCATTCTAAATTTAGACGTGTTGGCGAAAGCTGGGGAATATAATAATATTGGCCAAATGAAAAATTCATCATGTCCATTAATTATAAATTATTAGTAATGTGATATTACAACAGAACGTGTAATACAAAGAAAGTGTGAACAAGTGTTATACTATAATTTTAAAGAAACATTTATTTATTTTTCAAATGGATGAAGCCCCATGTATTTTCTTTTACAGCATGACCACTAAGCCATCAGAGCAAACCATGGTTTTTAAGGAAGACAGACTGTCATTTGGTATAAAACTCCATTCTTTTTTTATACTTACAGTAAGTGCATTCTGCAGAAAATATTTTATACAGCTTATGCACTATAAAAAAATTAATTTATCACCATATTTGAGCTGGGAAATTTTTATTTTTAATTTTTTTAAATTTTTTTTTAGCTAAAGCCAAATATCACCGTTGGGTTACTTGCTGGTGCATGATATTCAATGTAAAACATGATTGAGAAAATACAAAAAGAATATCTACTATTTACTACACATTTTCAAAAAATATCTAGTATAAACTATAATTGCCATGTCGATTTTTAATATAATCAAATGTGTCACTCACTACATGGTGATACACATCAAGTTTAGAAACAATATGATAAAATAATTTTTAATCACTTCACACAATTGTATAGCCCATGCTAGGAGATTCATTACAGTATTGTATTCTTTGAAAAACATGAATACAATACTGTATTGTATTGTATTCATGTTTTTCAAAGAATACAATACTGTAATGTATTGTATTCTTTGAAAAACATGAATACAATACAATACAGTATTGTATTTATTCTTTGAAAAACATGAATTTCTACAGGATTGTATTTTTGACCTGTAAAAATCAAAATGATCACGAGTGAATTTGCAGAAAGTTATATAATAATGATAATGGGGCAATAGTTAAGCTTGTTTTACGAAAGTAATTTTCAATTACAATTCAATTTTTATTGCGGTGCGCGATGTATTCGCGGTGACGAAAAAATTAGGAATTGTTTTTTACACACGAACCTAAAAAAAATCAAGCCAAGCGTCCAATAATAGAAAAATTAGTCGACGCTGGGGAATAGGCAAATAACATTGGAAGTTACAGTACAGTGATGACGTCACTATTGACATATAAAAAGTACTATTCCCCTCAAAAAGTACCATTTCTCTCAAAAATAGTATGTTTTTAACCTTTCGCGATGTGCAAACTCTAGACCCACTACATCGCGCTGCTGAGGGTGGGACTGCGACCTCTACGATGAGATTATTCCTCGACCGCGTCACAGATCAGCGAGTAGACGATAAACAAATGGAGGCTGCTTGTTTTGAGATGAAGGAGGACTAGCCTAGGCCTAGCATTACGTCTTAGTGAAGCCGATAGCAAAATCACCAAAAGACAAATTAAATATGTCTTATTAACATTCGACAAATATATTGCAAGACGATGGGTGCTGTTGAAATTGAGTAAATAAGCAAAGAAGAGCTAGACACACTCTGTGAATGCCTAGGCCTAGCTAGCCTAGTCGAGTAGTAGTAGGCCTAGTATGCCTTAATATAACAGGCTAGGAAGTAAGTACTTTTTTAGGCCTTGTAGAATCTATGTATGAGGTATATAAAACAAATATTGACTGCTCTATATTCGGGGAACAGTAAAATCTATTGCCGTTCGGTGATGTGCAGACCGTAGCCTATCTTCCCTTGGGCCACGTGGGAAGGTAGGCTACGGTCTCCACATCACCTTGGGACATTCACCATTCCCCTCATGAGCAGTCAATACTTGTATAATATATACTGCTACTAAATCAAATAATAATAAAGCATGAAAATAAAGGATAAATTAAAATAGCATAATTTGTATCTTATTTTTAAATGTATCTTTAAAATTTTCCTCACAATCAAAGGATAATTGAGCATACAAAGTCTGCATTTAAAATCAAGTAAGATGTATTTTATTAGTATTACTGTAGAATTAAAAACTGAAGTTTGTATTAAAATATCAAAATTGAATTCTATTGAAACTCGTGTTCAAGTAGATTGTATATTTATTACAACTGGACATTTTAGATTTAAGTTTTTTAATATTTCAAAATTAAATGCATACAGCACTTCTCTTTAATGCTACTGTTTTCTGATTCAAGATTTGAATTATTTCAGAACAATGCGGAAAGTACTGTAAACTGCTTTTAGTTTCATTTAGATGAAAGTTTGAAAGTTTTAAGACAGAAAATAGATTTTGAAAGAAGACAAATATTAGAATTGTCCTTTGTTGGATAGGAACAATATAGACATTATTTGTATAAACTTTTAACTAAGATTATATGATAGAAATTATTGTACATTAGATATTTTTTAGTCAAATAGTACTTTAACAAAGTAATAAATTTGTAAATAGTTACTATAATAATAAATAATAATAATAATCGCGGCGCCGTTTTCCACCTGCATAGTGTACACGTAACCTTTTTTTCTGCATTAGAATAATTAATTTATCTTATTTTAATTATTTATTTATTTCCTATTACATACCTGTGGAGGCTGATTGGGAGAGGGAAGCACAATGGACAATTGAAGATGAGGAATGGAGATGGCATTACCTCAGTGAATGCAACGAATTTCAAATACTTTAAATTGATTATTTTTGCTCGAAAAAATTCCAGCTGGGGTGCATGGGGTTCAAACTTTATCTGACGCATATGTCCCAACTTACCCCCATCCCACCCCCACCCTTAATCTACACAACTGGTGGTGACTAGACATTTTGAAATACTTAGGCTTAGGCTTAGTTCAGACTAGTTGGATAAACCCGGCTCAACTTACCGGTTTTATCCACCTGCCAGTCTGAACTAGCTGGCTTATCTCAAGCCAGGCTGTGTTCCTATATTAACTAGGAGGGGCATGCCACCTTGTTTAACTTTTCTAAGCCGGGCTTTAATCGTTGCGGAGGGTCTTGCATTGACTTCAGGTAACAAAATGACCAATCAGCATTCAATTACTTACGCTGTGAGCAAGCGTTCCGCATATTTCATTTTCTCCGGTGTAAATTGTATAAATTCCACTTTCTGGTACTTCCTTGCAAAATCAAGTCCGATTTCATATTCTTCTAATGACTTGTCGATCTCTGTTAAATATGACCAATGCACAAACAATTTTTCTGTTTTTGTACTGCTATTATCAAAAAATTCCTTCTGTTTCTCAATTTTGTTTTTGAACACTTTTTTTAGATTCATATGACCAATTACCCTGGCAGTAGTCCTATACCCAACGTCATTTTCGTAACCTAATGTGGGTGCATCATTCATGCGGAAAACGCACTCATTGCTATCAATTTCCTCGCCAGCTCCTCGATTCAACAACTGTCCTGAGCTGGATACGATGGCGCATGTTTTACAATGAAATTTCACCGTCTGAAATAAGAATATAAATCAATAAATAAGTATTTATTTATTTATTATGAAACCAAATCCATAAGTCAATACCTGTCTCTTATACACATCTAGATGTGCAGCGGAGTACAGCACAGATACTTTATTCAATTCATACCATGGGGTTTGCCTACTGTACTGTGGTGGATTAAGGAATTCAAAATAGAGGCCCCAGGGAGGGAATTTCACAGAGGGTCCACCCCCCACCCCCCCAGGAAAGAAAATTTATAGATGGCGGTAAATGACACTCTCAGATTTAAATTTGATAATTTTTTTTCACATTTTTAAAAATAATTTTGAAATATTTAGAGGGTGTGAAAGGCTGTCTCGGGGGATCCAACCTTCTTAAATACACTAAGGATTGGTACACAAAATTGTCAGTGTGAAAGCCAATTCATTTACAAATTTACTGTAGCAAGGATCTGTGCTACCATAACTCAGCTTGTATACTCACTCTATGCGATTTACTTCTACTGGATTTATATAACAGTACAAGTCTGTATTTTTAATAATAAATTTTGAATCAAATTCTGATTTTATCAAAAAATAATTCGATATTTTGATTTTTTTTTATTCCATAGAAATTTATACTAGTCACCCGTGTATGTCAATTTCTAGAAACATGGCACAGTATAATAATACTAAATTATATTTATATTAAATACTTACCGACAATACGTATCATCTACCATTCCATAGACATTTATACTATCACACGCATCAATGGCTAGAAGCATGGTATACCAACCCGTTGATAACCACGTCCTTGCTTGTGTTCTGAGGAAGGATAATTCAATAAATTTTAAAATGTTATTGTCTAATCAAAAGGGGTTAGGCTCTGATATAAACTTCAAGATAGAGTGACCCTATCCAAGCAATGCTACCCTGGATTCCTATCCCTAAATTTTGTCTTAATCAGTGAAAGCGCTTAAAAATAAATTGATTTTGGCACCAATTGCATTCCATATTACTTATCTGCATGGCATTTCATACTATTCATTTTCATGGTTTCATCCAAAATTCAACCATTATAACAAGTTTCTCAAAATAAACAGATGCTGGTGGTGCTCTCCGAAATTATCTAATACTAGTAAAAATCAATAAATTTTACACTTTGACTGACCTCATCTCCATCCAACTACAGTAAAATATTCTCATTAAAAACTCCTGTTTTTATTAAGCCAATTCGTAGTTTTAACTGCGCATGCCCGTATCCGAGGTCAATCAATATAAACCTATGTCGTCTGCATGTTTGTTTATGTACATTAACCTTAACCTGGGCATGCGCAGTTCAAACTACAAATTGGCTGATTTGCCTATCTTTGTTTGCATTAATTTTGACCGAGACGAATAGTAACTTTGCAATGGAGATGTATTCATGCCGAATGATCTAATAAAATATAAAAATATGAATTACGTACTGTACTAGTCTCACTTTATTTGGAGGTATATTTTATCAGTTATCAGTTGAGCTACTGGTTTTTTTCGGTACAGTAACTTTACTTTGTTCAAATCGTACCACTTTTCATGCGTGGACTATAAGATAATAATTCTTCATTGGTTTTTATTTAATTAGAAACTGGAAATTTGGGCTGGGCCTCTGAGATACTGCACCATCAGCAGTGTAACGCCACCCGACTTATCTACGACAAATAACGGACACAGACGGAGACGAACATTGTTCTTAACACGCCTCAATATGAGAGGTTATGTGAGGAGCCAAGTGATCAGATTCCAATTCAAACCAGACCCTGGCCAGGTTTAAACTGGGGTCTTAAGCCCAAGAAGCAGGAACAATACCTCTTAGCCAACTGCTCAGATGGCAAGATGCGAACATGCGTGAAATGTACTGTGATGAATGCGGTAATAATATACGCTTAATACGAAGAGCACAAAGACATAACCGAGCCAACATTGGACTAGTCTGCTTGAAAAAAAAGATAACATCCTGGTTGTTCTTCTGGGTAAATGTTCGCTTGGTTAAACACCAACCACCAAGGATTGCCCACAAAAGTCTAGAAGAAGACTTATTTCCAGTGGGGTCCTTCTGGTGGTGGTGATTGGGCAGTACTCCTGGAGACAATCCCCAACTCTTTTCCGGTCATCGCTGCATGTGATTGCGCATGTGCAAACGCTGCAAAGTGTATACTAAGAAGAAACTAATTTGCATACCATGACATAACCACGATGTGTGAATCAATATTTACAGGAAAATAATTTGTTAATAAAACACATGTTTTGATAAATATTGTTCATGGTAGGATGCTTAAATACCATACAAAATTTAGGAATATTGTAGGAGCGAGTTCTCAATGTGTTTTTCCTCTCTTTGTCATAATTAACTGTTAACTGTACCTGGGATGACCAGCTAAGTCTCAAAGCAGCTGAGGTAGGCAGGCTTATGGTACCTAGGCTTAGCTACTGAGGCCAGACAGTTGCTGTAGGCCTACTGCATCTAGCCATGACATAGAACTCATGATACGATATTTTCATCTATAAACCTATTATTTAAATAAAATCAAATCTCCTTATCATTTCTATACATGTTAGTACATTTTAGGCGTATTTAAAAAAAGCAAAATACAGTACGTACTAAATTTTATTGCATCCTTTGTATAATTTTACAAACCTTTGAAATATATCTTACCTTGTTAACCCTGTTTCATAGCGAAATATTTTTTCCGCATATTTCATTTTTTCCGGTGTAAATTGTATAAATTCCACTTTCTGGTACTTCCTTGCAAAATCAAGTCCGATTTCATATTCTTCTAATGACTTGTCGATCTCTGTTAAATATGACCAATGCACAAACAATTTTTCTGTTTTTGTACTGCTATTATCAAAAAATTCCTTCTGTTTCTCAATTTGGTTTTTGAACACTTTTTTTAGATTCATATGACCAATTACCCTGGCAGTAGTCCTATACCCAACGTCATTTTCGTAACCTAATGTGGGTGCATCATTCATGCGGAAAACGCACTCATTGCTATCAATTTCCTCGCCAGCTCCTCGATTCAACAACTGTCCTGAGCTGGATACGATGGCGCATGTTTTACAATGAAATTTCACCGTCTGAAATAAGAATATAAATCAATAAATAAGTATTTATTTATTTATTATGAAACCAAATCCATAAGTCAATACACACACACGAAAACAATGTATAGCAGAACTTCGATTTTATGTACTTTACGGGACCGGAGGGCGTAAAATCAAGGTTGGTTAAATTTGTGGTGACCTTTGACCTAATACTTACACAACACACAATAAACGTATGTTATGAACGAATGATGTTACCTGGCCTACAACTATGTCTACAACTTACAATGGTACAACTGACAGTAGGCCTAGGCCTACGAATAAAACCAGTGTTTTCATTCATCACTTTTTTACGATGTCATAATACTGTAAAACTATGTGCAGGCTGGTTGCCCCCCCCCCAGACATTTGACCTCTGACCAGCCTACAGTAGATCTTTTTAGTGTATCAATTCATCATTTTATATCTTTTATTTAACTAAAGAACATAAAAATATTGTAAAGGCTACAAATGGTATAATTTGGGAATTCCCCTTCATGGCTATTCTATAACCAGAGCTGAAGTGTTTGTATAATAATGCTATACTTATATACAGTAGCGTATATTGCACATTGCCCCTATGCGCTTTACAGAGAATTGATATCTGGCCAACTGAGAAAAAGCAAGTAACAATAAAATAATAACAATAAAATAAAATAAAAATAATCAGAATAACAATAATATGGGTATGGGTGTGCTGAGACAAACTAAAACCATGCGCACTGCACTGGACAAGCAAACCAATTAGCATTCATGTACAAAATTATGCCTACCCAGCTTACTAAACTTCATGGTAGAAAAATTCGATCAGACAAGTTTTCACACAAAAAAGGTAAAGTAGGAAAGAAATTATTTCGTGCACCAACGGTAGTTGTTCATCTCACTCAGTCCACATGGTTTTAGATTAAAACAGCACGTTAATTAGACCATCAGCATTGCTGTTGAATGCAAATACTTTACATGGTTTGTTTATTGTTACAGTATTGAAACAATAGACAGAAACTAAAAAAATCTATTTTTACATTATGGTGGCCCTGGAAAGGGCATTTGTTTTGAGTATTTTGGGGTTTTTTTTAATGGTAATCGTCCATACGAAGCGTACGTAAGACTGAGGGTTCGTATAACTGAGGTACCAAAACAAGGTTCTACTGTACTGTAAATCCCTTATTTTTGAGTGCCTTATTTTCTTGAAAAAACAATGATCGCAAAAATTAAGGGCATGAGAGTTTGGTCTTCAAAAACAAAGCTATAGATTGATTCCCTCAATAAAGGCTTCATTGAAAAGTTCTTCTTTGCGATCACGTTTTAGGTTAAAAATGTTGTTTCTTATTAAAATGTGTACAATCTGAGGGTAGGAAGTTCATAAAAAAACGACTGGAAATTGTAAAATCACGAAAAACGTAAGGGGCTGCAAAAATAAGGATTTACAGTATTTTTCGGAGAGATTACTTGTATGTATTTGTAAGATTACAAAGATAATATTTTTTTGCTTTCCCATTTTTCTTCAGATATGATTAGGCCCAATAAAATTTAATGGTAGCTTCACGTCCCGTACTATAAATTATTTTTTTGGTGAGGGTATTTACTACCGTATTTGCTATTTACTATCCATACAGTACTAATGCTAAACAGGCTAAGTAAATAGTAAAAATAGTTTTTTATATAATAAGTCAAATGAATCTTTGTAATGTATTTCTGCCATTTATTTTCCCACCTCTTCTTAGCAGTGGCGGCGCCAGCGGGGGGGGGGCTTAAGCCCCCACCGGACAGGTCAAACCCTCCATCGGACAGAGCTCGTCGGGCAATCAGACCATAAAACATATAAAAATAGGCCCACACTAAGCCAACACGTTTGACACAGTCTGAGAGTGCCATTTTCGGCCATCCAGAGGTTGATATTCTTCAAAAAAATCTCATTTGGGAGGGGGAACTCCCTCTCAACTCCTTCCTCCAGCCCGAGCCTACGAGGTCAAGTCCCCCTGTCAGACAACTTAGCCCCCACCCCCCAGAAATTATATCCTAGAGCCGCCACTGCTTCTTAGACTTGACAGCATTCTTTCAGAAAGTCATTATTAGGCCATATAAAAAATATTATTAGTTTATCACCCTATCTGGGCAGGAAAAGTGATGAGGGAGAGAGGCTTTTTTTTCCCATTTTTTTTTTTTTTTTTGCTAAAGCCAAATATAACCCTTCGTTTCTTTGCTGGTGCATTTATATTCAAAGTAAAATATGATTTAGATAATGCAAACAATATCTACTAACTATTTAATAAAATAAATGAAAAAAATAAATAAATAAAATTTGTTTTTAAATTTCAAAAAAAAATTTTTCAAACTTTTTTTTTCCCAGTACCATAGAAGGCATATGCGCAAGGGTGATAAACTAATAATTTTTTTATTGGGCCTTGGAAAAATGAATGTTTTTTTTTTTTAAATAGCAAATAAGTATATTTTTCATAAGGCTCCAAAATTTGATGAGGGCGGGAAACTAGCAATGAATTTTATTAGGCCTTACCACTTTTTTCTGTGGTCATTATTATAGTATCTGGTTACATTGCAGTATGTTACTGTACTGAAATCCAATCCACACTTCCATCTTATTTCTGAACTCATCATTATTATGAAAAGAACATGCCAAACTCCACACAACATAAAATATGTCATTAAATATTTGACAACTAATATTACAACATAAAAACATGCAATTGTAACTAAACTCCCCATAATGAAAAGAATAACATAACTGCCATCACATAAAATATTTCATGATAGAGACCTTGTTTATGCACCTTATAAATTGACATAGAGTAATATTATTATTATGACTATGGTCTTTTTACCGAAAGGTCCACTGATTAATCTCAGATGAGAAAGTATAATACATACTCCAAGTATTGAAATACAAGCCATCGTGTTGGGATTCAATATTTCGACATTAATTATGTCATCATTATGTCATCATGTCATCATCCTTCCTGATGATGACATAATTAATGTCAAAATATTGAATCCCAACACGATGGCATGTATTTCAATACTTGGAGTATGTATTAATATACTTTCTTATGGTCTTTTTACTTATTTGTGGCAAAGACAAGCCAAACCAGTCACTCGTCGCAAAAATCGATTTTGAGTTATTAATACAGTGTTTAATAGAGTGTAAAATAATAGCTATAAAATGGTAAAAAAATTATTCAAATTGGACATTTCCTTATGAAGTTACAAGCGTTTAAACATACAGCTGTTTAAAGGGCAATATATGAGAAATCAGCCTTCAAAGTTTATGATTTCATGCATTTCTCATACAAAAACGACCATTAAATCCTTAAAAAGTGTTGTTTTAACATTAAAAATGGGGAAAATAACAGCCATAGAATGATGTATAGATATGTAAAGGTTAGTTTAGTGCAATAAAATAGATTTTTAAAAATTTGACATTCCAGCATGTTTTGGCCAATTTCTCTGAAACACGATTTGCGACGATTGACTGGTTTGGATTGTCTTTTCCACATTTATTGTGTGAGTGAGATGTTTTTATCAACATTTTATGATTTTTTTGTACTTTTTGCTTATTTCATGGACAATTCACATTAAAGACCGGTGGTAATAATGTGCAGAGCATACAGGTAGATACATTTGTGATATGCGCTATATAAGAATCCATTTATTATTAAACCTATTCTATTCAAGCGCTCACAAAATCAAACTGCTTAAAAATATTCAGATTTAACGCGTTTCACTGCCAGGGACTCAAGTTCAAGTTCACGTAAGACAGAGTTCACTCAGGGCACCAATAGGGAGCTTTCAATTTCTGCGACGACGCGGCACAAGAACGGAATCACTCATGCGTGACCGTCCTACCTGGTGTCCTATGTTCTCTGCATACGTAGATTTGGCCAAATTGCTCGATGAGGTGACCTTAACGTTCTCAGATGCGCAGATGACTTTTAGTGACGTCATTACGTTCTACGTCCTACCGTCGTCGTGCAATCGAAAGCTCTTTATTGATGCAAGTTCACGTCCACACCCGTCTAAACAATACCACTAGTACAGTACTGCACGTTACCTTGCAGGCAGTGGTCAGAATGAGAACTCCCGACCTGGAGGCTCAGGGAAGAACCCTGTACATTTAAATATTGGTTTTGAGTTCACTAAACCTATTTCATAACTATTATTCTGTAATTTTAGTATTTTCATTTAGGGACCACAGTGGAAATAAGTTGCTTTTTCTAATTTTCTGTGTGTTTTATCCTTGAATGTTTTTACTTATAATTACTTCAGAATGAATAAATTTTTAAAAAATAAAAAATAAAAGAAGTAACAATCTAAAAATAAATATCATATGTTTGTTTGTTTCATTACAGTTGATGGGAATGATTTTTTTTTTATTATGGTAGCGCACTTTATATGCCTTGGCATGGGATGAAACTAAAGAAAAACGACTTTCTGTCTTATTCGAATGCCATAACCACTTTATATAGTGCATTGTCCTTTGCAGCACTCATTAAAACAAAGCCACATAAATATGTTAATATTACTTAATCTTGGTGCACAAGTACTCAAACTTAATATATTTGCAACAAAGTTCAAAAGAGTTCAATTTGTTTCTGTTGGGAATAACAACTTTCATTGAAATGTTATAAATAAAAAGATCACTCGCTTGTTTGTATATTGCATGGTTTTATATAAATTAATTGAGTGCTCACTCCACACTATCACATTGTAAGTGGCAAAATACCAATGATGTGCATTATGGTTTTCATGTCATCATCCTGCCTTTAATGACATTAATATTAATAATAATAATAATATTTATTCGGCAAAGTAAAAAGTATATATACAATATTCTTGCCAGGAGTAAGTAATAGGCATAAGCCCAAACAGTAAACTGCTCTTACTCCATCATCAAAAACAAATACAATGACAATACAATATAAATATATACCAAAAAAAAAAAAATTTTTTTAAATAAAAAATTCAAAAAATAACGCCTATTACTAGGATGATTTCAGATTCAAATGTATTTGTCAACAGATACCCTGGGGCTGTGCAAAGTGTTGACACGACATGCCCACATGGGCAAATAAAAAAAATTGTTACAATAATTGGGTGTTAACAGGTTGTAAACCCTTGTCCACACTATCAAATTTTATGTGACAAGTAAATGTGATATGACCATATTTGTGTGTGATATGACATCACCATGCCCATATATGGGTATACCACAAAAAATTGTCTCATATTAATTGCTGCTGTGAACAGACCTTTATAAAAACATACTTACCCAGTTCCCTATTAAAGGCTGGTAGTCACTTTGTGCCAATTGTTTATTATTTCCTTTTAATATATCCCTAGAAAAAGCTTGTTTCCAATCAAACTTAGAATGAGGAGATTCTAATATATGCATTTTTTTGTCACTTGCATCAGTTTTTTGTTCAGAATCAATGCTTTGGTCTTTAGCAAGTAGCAGGTCCTCAGGTTTAAATTTAACTGCATTTTTGTCTGCGCTATCGACTGGTGCAAGAACTGCGAAGTTTGGAGGTAAATCCATCGACTGGATCTCTTTCTGTGATGGTAGTCGATAGACTGTGTCATTGAAATTAACAAGTGACATCAAAATGATGCTGGTTAGGATGTAAAACAAAACCAAAGCAAAAACCCGAAATGGAGTCTGAAATATAAAATGAGAAAAAGCAATTTTATTTCAAATCAGGGGATCATGCATTTAAAAATAGAAGAAATTGGTTTTATTAAAAAAAATCAAAATGGTCATGCAGTAGCTTGAGTCAATAGAGAGCTTTTGTTTATCTCATTCAAGAATCAATTCACAGACAAAATTTCTCTTTTCCAACCAAAACAACAAAGCCAGCCACACGCTTAGTAGAATTTAGTAGTCGCATGTGATCTTGCGCGTTCATTGTCACAACCAACTGTTGGTTACATGACTGAAACCCGAGCCCCCACCAGGGTTCCGCCCCTGGACCACAGGGACCCTGGCGGCCTCCCACCCCCTATCCCACGTTAAACTGGTATAGTCACACGTTTCAAATCTCTCAGGTTGGTAACTATGAGACGACGTCAAGTCGTCTTACGCTCAAAGAGAGCGAAGCAGAGGTGATTCATCGTTCGACTAGCGACAGGAGAGTGCTTCGTACATGTGAATAACCTTTACATGAGCCATATGGCACATGGGGTGAATGGCTTTAACGTCTCATTCGACGGTGAGCTGTTTTATACTCGCATTTGTGGTGATGATGTAATGATGTCACTTTCACAAAGCGGGTTCGAAGAATAGACAGCCCATAAATTGGGAGACGTTACTGTAGTGTATAAAAATGATAATTGATATAAAAAATGTTAATATTTCTCAAAAAAAAAGGGACAATCAGGACTATCACCTTCAATCCAAACCTTTCCCGTTTAGAGCCCTTAAGTCACTTCTCTAAACAGTGGCAAAGTAACAAATTCTTTAAAAAATGGAAAAGGGTTTTTGAATATTTTTGTTGACTCTTTTGGCTATTGAATAATGTTACCAAGTGAAATAATAAAATGATAAGAAGTCATTTCTCGTTAGACGTGTTTTAACTAAACTCAAATCAAGAAACTTTGAAAAGCATAAGAGAGAGCCATTCCCAAACATCTAGAGACACCCAGGGACACCATATTCTTTCACTGTACACATCTTAACTTCCATCTTCTGGATGGCTATGCATTTATCGTTCAATTTTGAATATTTATTCATCGTTTAATGAACTTAGGAAATGCAACGATATTCAGTCACTGGAGGCGATGATTCAATAAAATTTTAAACATCACTTTGCATGAAAAAATGTAGACACTAACCATATCCTGTCAAACTAAATATTCTAATATACAAGATTGACAAATTTTGGTCCCACCAATGAAAATTGCTTTCTTTTTTTACAGCTGCCTGAAAAATCTTTCAACTCCTTAAATATCAAGGGCAGAGATCAAGTTATAGTATGTCAGATTAAAACAACACAATATTTATTCAACACCCCTTTACACCTGCTGGTAAGCAGATATAGAAATATTTTCCTTCAAGTAAGACTAACTCTCTGATCAAAATATTTTATTTATTTTCTTTTAATTTATTCAAGTAATAATATGGTAAAAAGTGCAAAAAGAAGAACAAGTGTGAAATTATTACAGTACAAAAATTCAAGAAAACCAAATATCAATTAGAAATAAATTTAAAATTAAAAAAAATACAAAAATACAAGTTGATTAAACATAAAAAAACATATTCATATATATATATATATATA